TTGGTCAAATTTCAATCTAATCCCAATCTCAATCCGTAGTCTGATACGGGCTTAACTTTTACTCTGATTGGTCAAATTTCAATCTAATCCCAATCTCAAACCGTAGTCTGATACGGGCTTTACTTTTACTCCGATTGGTCAAATTTCAATCTAATCCCAATCTCAATCCGTTGTCTGATACGGGCTTTAAGGGGAATGAATCGTCGCCGTTTTTGCTGTATTTGTTACAAGAATTAATGAAAAGGGTGTTGATCAGGGTGACCGTGTACTTACAAGTTGCATTTGTTTCAGTCTACGGTGTGCAAACGCATAATGGAGAAGCTAGGACAAGTCGACATGGATCATCAACAGCGTCGGGTAGTCTGTATATCGCAGGACAGTTTCTACCGCAACCTAACGCCCGCTGAGAACCTGAAAGCTGAGAAGGGACAGTACAACTTTGATCATCCCGATGCCTTCGACGACGATCTAATTTTGCAGACGCTGCAGGATATACTTGCCGGCGTCAAGTGTGAAATACCAGCCTACGATTACAGATCAAACAGTTTGTACGTGTGGCTTTAATGTTAATAGGAATAAAAGAACTTAAAAAAAAATAACCGAGATACAGTAGATTAAAAGATGTTTATGAAGAGCAGACAAATTGCGAAAAATTTAGTAAAAGATTATTATTGGCACTTCCTATGTGAATGCATTTATAAACTTATTTCAGGATGAAAGATCAAGTTACCACGATATATCCTGCTGACGTAGTACTGTTCGAAGGAATACTGGTATTTTATTTTCCCAAAATTCGGGATTTGTTTCACATGAAATTGTTCGTGGACACCGATTCCGACACCAGACTCGCGAGGAGAGGTAACGCTGCATGTGTAATTTGAGTCGCTTGTCGCCCTCGTATCAAGACTTGCCGCAACGTTGCTCGTGTTTTCAGTGCCGAGAGACATAAAGGAACGTGGAAGGGATTTGGATTATGTTCTGAATCAATACATGAACTTTGTAAAGCCGGCTTTCGAAGAGTTTTGCCTGCCGACAAAAAAGTTTGCGGATGTTATAATACCGAGGGGAGCAGATAACACAGGTAATACATTATCACCTACCTACAATCTATGATATCTGTAACAAATATTTTTATTGCAGCTGTTGCTATGTATAATATCATTACTTGACAATGTCGCTTAATGTTCACTAATGGGTTTATTGTTTGTGGATTTATAGTGTGTTTATCAGAAGTTTCATAAAAGATTTTCATCTTTTTTTTCTTTCTCGGTTTATAATATCACTTTTATTGCAGTTTTATTTCGCCTATAAAGTTCTCATGTCTAATTGTAATATTAACCAAAATTTTTTTCAAGTTTTCTTTCCGGCAAATTAGCTCATAGTGATAAAAATATGTAGTTTTATTACTATAATTATTATCACTGATTACACTATTCAGAATATAAACAAAGCATTCCAGAACTGTTCTCTCTCTCTTCTCAAGTGTAAGTGTTAAAGAATAAAAGAATGGACAGTAGTGAAAATGAAAAGAAATTGTGGCTATTTTACAAAAGTTATTAATAGTTTGAAAGAGTTGAAAGTGAAAGATTTTTCATGTTTAAAACTTTAATAATCCAAACAGTAATCAAAGATCATTCTGTGTGAATGACGATTATACATATATTTTGATTTGAAGGTTTATAAAAATGTTTAATATTGTAAATCGAAGTATATTTTAAATATATACACATAAGTATACTCTTGCCTGCTAGATAAAATTATAACATTTTTGTGAATATTTTCATTATGAATTAAAAAATTTAATTAACCCGTTCTAAAAAGAGGTTTTCAATGAAAAATAATTATAGTAATTAAACCATATATTTGACAATACTTACCATACTTTATTTTAAAGAAAACTTGAAATTTTTAATCAGATTTAACAATAAAAAGCCAAGATTGTTTAATAATACATGTTCCTCTAATATAGAGATGCTTTGATTCGATACTGTATTTATTTCTATATGGGAGACTATTAATTGTACAGCTGGTATCGCTGAAATATCCAATTACTACAAAACTTGGGTGCACGGGTCAATGAATTATCTCTACATCTAATTTAATAGTAATTGATATATGCATCCGAGAGTCTCTCCTTGTATTTTGATATATGGAATAATTTACAAGTCAGTTCTTTATCTTCTCCTTGTTTATGTATTTAAATTTGCATCCATTCAACTTGTTATATATCATGGGTGCTGCCTGGTATGCCGTGGTTGTGGATGTCAGAGCTACACCTACTTAAGCGAAAGTTTAAGAGAGACAAAAAGTATCTCATGATACGGAAACCTATATGGTCACGAAACCTACATGGTCTGGTTGTTGTATGTTTGCAGTGGCAATAGACCTAATAGTGCACCACATCTGGGATATTATGCGTTTGAAAAACGCCGAAAACTCAGCCGGGCAGCATCCATTCCTCTACCAGCGTAGACGTACTTCGGCGTCATCCGACACGCTCAGCAGATGACTTAAGCATGATAAGCTCACTCTGTCAAGCACTGCATTTTTTCTACATCACGCTCTGTATGACTGAATTCTATACGACATTTTCCAATTCTTTTTCTAATAATTACGGAAGAGTAATGTCCGTTTTTCAATGCAGGATTACTCACATTTCTGTCACTGATATCAATTGGCAATGACTTGAATAATACAAATAGATCGAGACATTATAACATAAATGTGAATCAGATAAAGTAAAAATATAGACAAATGTGAATATGATACTTTTGCTATGCTATTTATCAAATTAGATTGCGCTTCTGTCGTGATCACTTACTACAAGTATTACATTTTGATACGAAGACTTGATATTTATATTTACTAATGTCTAGAATTTTTATTTCTGCTGTGATACTTTCTCACAAAAACTAGATTATGGTCAATTAAATGCCCTTTTTTTAAAAAATTTTTATTTAAATTTTATTATATGATGGAAACGGACATTGTTTATTCACCAATTATTACAGTCTTTGAGAGATTACATTTACATGGCGGAGAGAATGGTGCTTTTTATACATATTTTACCCTGAATGAATACATTAACGTGAATTAAATCGCAAATCATTGAAAAATGCATGAAATTGTATAAATTTACTTAAAAAAAGGTGAATTAAAAGGGGTTGACAGCAAAACAGTCGACACAAGTGAATTCTTAATTTTTCGAATCTGGATTTTACTTATTTACTAATTATTTTTTATTTTCTTATTATCTTAGCATTATATTCTGTTTGATTAGTTTCGTATTATCCTAGTATTACATCCTGTTTGATATCTCTCGTGTCTTTACCAGAACGACTATGTTGAAAGAAAGATATATAATGTTTCTACATTTCTACATTTATATAAAAATTGCAGTAATGTAATTTTTCTAGATTTTTATATAAAAATTGTAGTAATGTATTTAAATTGTATCGAATCATTTAGCGTATTTACACTGAAAAGATGAACGTTGTTTTAAAAGCTGTTTAATATTTTGACTAATATTTCTTTATTAAGATTATCTATCTCTCAATTGATACACGTATATAAAGCGAAATAAAGTAAGAATAAGAAGAATTTCCCGATTTTGAAAAATTAGGAATTCAACCTCATAAAATAAACTCCTATTAATTGGTTTTAACTTGGCGCTCCATTCTTGCATAGTATATAACGTAATATCATATCACACAACTATCTATGATCACTCAATTTTCTGGATAAATATCTCAAGTATTATGTAAAAAAAAACTTAGGAATAATACGTATGTGTGCGATATTGTATCTGTGATATGTGTGCTCGCGTGTACATTTGTATGTTGTGTATAAATGTATTTTAAATACCGCATACATTTTATTCTTCTCTAGAAGACATACGATTTCCGATAACTTATATGTTTTGCATTTGCATTTTGCATAATACCTTAGAACATAATTACACGCAAGTATTCACTAGCATAATTATCTACGATGAGAATTATCTAGTTTAGATTTACCTCGAAATATTTGTCTATTGCACTCCGTAATATTAATTCTCGTATTATTCAATACGTACAAGCATACAAGTTACGCCCAAACTGTTAGTTCCTTTCTGTACAGCAAAAATCTCAAAGCTAGCTTTCTTTAATATCTAATGTATGTATTGTTTACTATAATGTAGCTATCAATAGAATCGTAATTCGTATCGTCTTCTTATGTATAAATCAATACTGTCAAAGCGAATCTGTATAAAAACCCTTTGGTTAATTCCTTAAAATTCGTTAAAATCGTTTTATTATATATAACTTTTTATTATATGTAGCTTAAGTTGTAGTAAGTTTTATTGAAGTCAATTTTTGAGACTATTAATTCTTCCTAATCTGCACCAATGAGTATTTGTAGTCGAAAAAAGTGAGTGAGAAAGAAAGAGGGCGCCAGTTTCTGGGGCACTCTATTGCATATTGTTAATGAAAAGAGAATAAATAGATGTCTTGTATTTGCAAAATGGTATATGAACACAAGTGTCTTATGCATAATAAAACCATACATAATTCTGATGCGATCGCAATAGTTATTTGAGTTAAACAACAATGAATTCCAAACATCTACAAATTTGATACTTGTTCCAAGATGTATAAATAATATATATCGCAAAATAAAGCAATTCATCTTATCCCCGACGTACTTGTGCATCGTATTCGCGACAGCGTACTGATGTTTCGTGATCTGTTGCAGTGGCGATAGATCTGATAGTGCAGCACATAAGAGACTTCTTAAGCAACCGAGGTAGGCAAATGGCGGAACCTGAAAGTCCAATAAGCAGGATAGAAGGATTATTCAAGAGACCGCATTAATTCTTGAGACCTTAACATGTTTAGAGCGACTCGCCAAGTCATGCTTTATTTCCTTTCAATACTCTGGATATATCTTTTTTATATAATTTTAATTAGATGAAGAGCGTAAAGAGACATCTTTTTAGATCAATGTTTTAGAAGGCATCGTGTTGCATTTTAATGATATTTATATAACGATAGCGTTTGCATTGTGCACTAACATTTGAGTGGAAATTATTGAAGAATCACAAAATTAAAAGCTTATATTTAGGTATTTATGTAGACTATACAGGATGTAATCAAGATATATAGCAAAGCTGCGAGAGCAGTAAGATGTACACATGCCTAACAGGATCACTTTAGCATCATCTACAGTTTACAATTTAGGCGTAGCAAATACCTTCGAGTTGCATCCTGCATACGTAGGTCAGAAAGGCACTAATATCAAATGGCGTGTACTATTACATGGCACAATTGAAACTGTTACTTTGTAGAAGAAATTAAAGATTGTTAAAATATAACGATATTTACGAGGCTTGTATAATACGGAAATAGACATTATTGTCCTTGTTGACGTTCGTGATCGTTTAATTGTATATTCAACCTTTTATTCTTATACTATAATATGTACATTACACTTAAATATAAAAAAGAAAGTAAAGTTTAATAATTATGACGTTACATTTAAAAAAATGCTTACACGTAACATTATTTTATATACATTTATTGATAGTAGAGCTCCAAGTTCATACCGTCGTGTATTTCATCTGAAACAGCGCGTTAAGGAAAAGACTGTTGCATCGTCTACAATGTGCGGAGTAAGCCTGGCATAAGGAGCGAGAGAACCCTGACCTCTAGCTTTTGGTGTAAGAAAGCTAAAACACAGGTCTCGGTGGTCGAATTGGTTGAGATGCCCGCCTAGCGAGGGGGAGATCCAGGTTCAAACCCTGGCAGAGGTGATATTTTTTCGCAATTGTTGCGGTGATCCCACCGCTGCCACCAATTTTGTTGCCGCGCCGCTCTGTGCGCGGAGCGCTATTATTCTTATTACAATTACCATGCTTACATTGCTTGTTCGAGTACCCTCATTACCTCTTTATGCAATCGGGGCACAACACAATAAACTTAGAATAGAATATTTAGACACTGCCACCCTGTCACGGCTCTGAGACCTTTAAATTCTTTGAAATTTGTGTTTAACACATACGAGCCATACTAATTTATTAAAATTCAGGTATCATTTAAAAAATATGTCGCAACACCGGCCGATGGCATTCTGATTCACCGAGAGTAAGCGCGAGAGCTCAAGTAGGAGTAAGAAATTGATTTGTTTCCTTACTCCAGGCTTAGTACGCGCACTGTAGACGACACGCAGAGAGAAATGAATTCGACGAAGCATTTCGCTCGGTTTCTCACGCGACAAAGGATACAGTCCTGCAACTTTATGTGGTCCTTGAAAATGGTGTACCACTTCTTCAGGACGATCTTCTCCCAGTGCGTTCCGGTCTGGGCGGCTATCAATTTTTTCAGGTCGCCTATAGTGTCGTCCGGGTTACATTTCACTCGGACCTTCTTGCCGAGACGATCGTTGCACGTTATCTCCAACATCTTCTACCTGAAGATATAAACTCTGATAATATTGCGATTTATTTTAATTACATTATAATCAATGTTTATTTACTTTTAACCGGACAATTTCAGCAAGTCGGGCACGTTTACCTGGGACTTTTGCGCGACTCAAATGACGCGTGGTAAACAGTCGCGCTTACCGCTAACGTCCTCGCGGTCTCTCGCGAAAGAGAGACAAAGAGAGATTAGATGGCAACGACAGTCCTAATTCTCGAGGAAAATTCTGGAAGATCGGAGCAAACGAGTCGTATTCTCTCCTTTCTTTCTCTCCTCTGCCCGTTTCGAGGTTAGGAAGCACACACGCCGACGAACCATAAAAAAGACCGTTTGATCGGTACTGACGTGGACGATTTTTACCCGCGGTCGGAAAAACGGGTTTAGAGTAACTCAATATGCAGGACAGGTGTGCCGAGTCTCGCCATATTGAGTTCTGTCGCAGAGGCTGGGTATGTCGCGCGCCGCGCGAGACGGTGTCTCTCCTCGACAATGCCATGTTGTTATGTTATTGCGGGGAAGATAGGGCGCTCGCGCTTTTTAACAAGGCTACGACAGGGGCTGCCGAACGGCGGCGAGTGAGCCTCGCGGCGGGGCGTCCGCATGAGAGTGCGCGCCGCCAGGCCCGATGGCGAAACCGGAGCGGCTTCGCTTCACGATTCTGGATGACTTGATACTTTTGCGCGAGGTCTCGAGGCTGAACCCGTACGAGGAGAGCGACAGGTGGAAGGCCGTCGCCGAGCGAGTCGTGAGCGCGACGCAGAAGAACTTCAGCCTGCGCTGCGTCAAGGAGCACGTCGATCACCTGCTGAAAATATGGGCCAGGGAGGGCCGCGCGCACCTCAGGAAGTAATCGTCGCTTTAGTCTTAATTACATAAGATACACCGCAATCGACGTGTCATCTTGGGCGCGTTATTAAAACGATACTCAAGTTGGCCATCTCGTTGAAGCATGAAAATAATTTCGCGGTTTACGAAGAGCTTCGTCGAATGCTTTCATGTTATTTTCGCTGATCTCTAGGTCGGGGACCGAGGAACAGTATAACGAGAAGGAGGGACTCCTTCAGCAAATACAAGACTTGCAGAGGGAATTCAGGCGTTCTGGCAAAGGCTCTAATGCACAAAAGTCACGAATACAGAAGGACGTGACGCTGGAGAATATTTCTGACACATTAGAAGTGATAATAGAAGAACCAACGGTAGCAACACCCCTACCTTCGTCATTTATGCCTTCGACATTGCTGCCAATTGCTTTACCCTCGCCGAGTTCATCATGTTCGTCTTCGTCGTCAACTCCGCTAACCTCAGGAAGCCCACGGCGGTCGCCAACCACGTTGCCGTCGAGAACGGGTGGCCCAATAAGGAACAAGGTGCGTCACGATGCACTGAAGAAGTCGACGTTGCATTTTCTGCAAGAAAGACACAAGAAGGAAATAGAATTCCAGGAGAAGCAGTTTCATCTTGAGGAGAGGAGAATTCAACTGGAAGAAGAAAAGTTTAGAATGGAGAAAAAGGAGCGTGAAGCGAGACTTGAATTGGAGATTGAAGAAAGAAGACAAAGGATCGCGGTATCTAGACAAAAACAAGAGATTTTGGAAATATTGTTACAACTAATACATAAACCTTGATTATTTTTGTAAGCGCTAGCTTTTCTTTGTTTTATCGATTTATAAATAAATCTATTGTTAAAAGAGTGCATTCCATTTTGTAAAGTTATTTATTATACACGTTGTACATGGAAAATTAGATGGAAAGATCTTAATTCAGCTGAACATTGGTTTCCAATAGCATTACTCTATAAGCATAATTAAATATATTTGTAACAAATATATTTTTTGTTACGGAAACAACAAAAATAATATGTTGGAATTAAATGTAAAATTTTTAGATCACAAACTTAATCATATAATATTTAAAATTCTGTAGTGAATACATGCTATATTTAGTATATATATATTTATTACAACTAGACTGTAATTTTTCAAGTTTTAAACCCAAGTCCTCGATAGTATAGTGGTCAGTATCCCCGCCTGTCACGCGGGAGACCGGGGTTCGATTCCCCGTCGGGGAGATTTTTTTTGGTACTTTTCTTTTTTTCCTTATAAGTATAATATATTATTTATTACTTTGTTATTGTTAGTGCATTCAGCAAGTAATAAAAATATAAATTTTATCAGATTATTGCAAATATCTATATTGCTTTTTAACACTTTAAATGGACAAAGTATTTATTTTGAAAACATGAAGGTAATATAGAATTCACACTGCAATGTTCAACGTATAATTGTATCAATATAGAATCAAAATTCTTAGAAAATATATTTATAAATATCGGAGATAGCGTGCGAATCCTTTATTAAGGGCCAGTTTGACAAACGTCGGTTAACTGCTAACCGAAGGTTAATTGATTCTCTGTCTCTTCTTAGATAACAAGATAGAAAAAGATAGGAAGTTGACTGAACTCTGGTTAACAGTTAACCGACGTTTGTGAAACTGGCCCTAAGAGGTACAGAGGAAAACATAAAAATAAAGAATGTTTACTTTTTGTTTATTATTTTTACACCACACATTATTTTATAATTATAGACTTTCAATAATACGCACGAAAAAAAATAATTTTGCTATTGCAGCGAAACTGTTGCTGCTACTTGAATACTGCATATTTGATATATTATATATTAACGTGATGACGATACGAAAATTTCTTCATTATACATTATTAAAATTATTCACCATTACAGCAGAACGTTTAATATAATAGAACAGAAATTATTTTATTTCTTTAGCTAAATATTTCGCACAATAATTTTTCAATAAAATTAGTGTTCTTAACACATAGTTGTCCGTAGAAGAGAAAATAACTTTATCATAAAATAACAGACAAAATTTACTTAAGTTTACATAAGATATATTGTACGTGTTAGCAAATTATTTTTCTCCGCGTGATGTCTGTAAGTGGAACAGGTTTTCGACTTGCCTGCAACATTCCTGAGATCTAAGCAGCTGCCCTCTTGTGCCGTTCAATGAACTAAAGTTGCATACGGCAAGATGTCTGAGGACGAAGTGGAGAGCTTCGAGATCACTGATTATGATTTGGACAATGAATTCAACACGGCCCGTCCTCGACGCAAGCTCTCGAAGAAACAACAAATGCTAGGTATGACATACGCCACGATCAATGGCATTTAAATACACGTTGTACACGACGTAAACTATGGATTTTCAGTACTGGTGGTGAGTATCGGAACGCAGCCTACGGCGGAAACAAAAGTGGGAACAAAAAGCTGGGAATAATTTGAGATACTTACATTATTTACTTAACATGTGATTTGTAATAGTTTTCTAATTGTACCTAGTAAGTAAACCACCTGCAGCATGACAATAGATTTGATATTATTTGCAGCAGATTTGCTGAAATATTTCAAGTTTCTCAAGGTACGTTCTATTTCACTCATGATGCACATAATGCATCATTTATCTTTATTTAACATCGGGTGAATAACAAGGATAAATGATGCGATATGTGCATTATGTGTGGAAATGGAACTTACTCTGATATATATTAATATAATCATCGTCTGTATCTGTATCGTGTTTTGTCGGTTGAGCCTGTCAATATAATCGGACAAGTAGATTGTTGACAGAAATTAAGCAGAATCTGTCTTTGTAATATTTAAATGGAATACATTATTTCAATTAAAACGACTATAAATGGCTGAGTCTGTTCGGTTTCTGTCATTATATTTTGTTAGTAGATAATGTATTTATAGGCCTGTTCTTTATTACTGCACTACTGAACTAGTGCAATAAGTTAAAATGAAACAAATAGATTACCTCTCATTCCAACTCATTGCACCAGTGTGCACTAGTTCAGGAGTGCAGCAATGAAAAACAGACCCTATATATTCTTGGTGCATTCTCTTGACAAATTTTGCAGATGTTCTCAAACTTTGTTCTTAAACAGATATAGTTATTTGGGATTATTTATTATTTTACATGTAACTTCTTTCTATTAACAAACAGGAATATGGGCAGACGACAGCGATAAAGATGAACTCTCTGCCAGACCATCTTTCAAGACCTTCAATAAGGGTCCTAAGAATTATACGGCACCAGTTAATTTTGTCGCTGGTGGTATCCAACAGGCAGGAAAACCGAAGGAGAAGGAAGATGAGGATGATGAAGAATACAAGGAAGAAAGGGAGGCAAAGCACAGTAGTTCGAGGTAAAGTTGAAACAAAAATATTTTTTTATGTAAATCAATCTTTTCTGTATTTATTAAAGTAAACTTTCAACACTTTGAGTTCCAAGCTCATTTTGAAGGTGAATTCAAAAGTAATGTTCGATAAAATTTGGTTTTCATTCAATATACAGGGTAGGCCAGTTTAATGTATCCACTGAAATATCTCAAAATCTATAAGTTTAAGACAAAAATGTTTCGGGTAAAAGTTAAATGGTTTCGAGGGGGCCAGGTGGTACTGTTGATTTGACTTGAATTATTTCTACTCGAGTGACTAAAATTACTCATAGGGTGCTTTCCAGCAACGTACACAGGTGACACTGTGTAACACAGTGAATTGTTTTACCTTTGTTTATCATTATTAAACAAGGATGAAATGATTATCTATATAACACTGTACCAATCTATGTCTCTTGCTGGAACAGATACTTCCTATCCATAAGCTTAATCTGCAATGTGCTCTTTGCGCGTCTTGAAACATTCAATTTTGTAGTCAATAGAGGAAAGTCCCTTATTATGAGATAGAATTTTAATATGGAACAGCGGGATTTTTTGTTAAATGTATATACATTTGATGTCTTTTATTTAGTTCAGAAGATGAGAGGCCAAATAGTTCCAAATCACGTACGTCCTTTTCCTTGAACTTGGATAGTGACATTGTGGGTCTGCGTAAAAAGCGGAATCAAGTGAATCCAATGCTGATGAAAAGTGGAATGGGTAGTTGGGAAGTGCACACAAAGGGCATTGGCGCTAAATTATTGCTGCAGGTATTTCATGAACAATAATCGTAATATACTTATAAATCGTAGCAAGATGAAAATGGAACATTAGTAAAAGAGGTATTCTTGTTTCAGATGGAATTTGAACCTGGAAAAGGTTTAGGTAAACAATTGCAAGGAATAAGCGCGCCAGTGGAGGCACATCTCAGAAAAGGAAGAGGCGCCATTGGCGCATATGGTCCGGAGAAGAAGATTCCTGAAAAAAAGAAGGATGATGGGGAAGTATCTCAATGGCGAAAGAGTGACAGCAACAAGAAAAAAGTCAGATACTGTTATAGAAGTGTGGATCAAGTTTTGGAAAATGGAAAACTGAAGCCTAATAGAAAACTTCCAGTATCTAGCGATATGAGCAGAGTTAAAGTTATCGATATGACGGGGCCGGAACAAAGAATTCTTAGCGGATATCATGCGATATCATCTGATAAGAAATCAAAAATAAACTTTGCACTGCATGAATTGCAGCACAATTTAGATGTACTTGTGGACATGTGCGAGCAAAACATTATCCAAAATGATCAACGAATGAAGTATTTAAATGATAGGGTAATTGCCCTGGAAGCAGAAAAAAGAATTTATCTTAGGTACTGGATCAGTACAGTCAACTTTGTAGCGCCAAAGATAAAAGATTATAAAGTCATAATGAAAAGATATAACTAATTAAGATCTTAAGGACACGTTTTAATATTGAGACAATGTATACGTGAGTTTTAATAAAGCTTAAGTAAGCCGTTATCTATTATTATTATCTCATTGTTATTTATAGAGGAAATATTGCACGGTGGAGAGGCACTCTGGATGTCGCCGGATGGTCACATGATGCTTTATTCATCGTTCAATGATTCTCTCGTAGAAGGGATGCACATTTCATGGTTTGGAGAGGGAAACAAAGCGATATATCCTGATATACGATCCCTACGATATCCCAAGGTACGCGATATATTCGAAAAATTATTGCAATAATTTTTGCTGTATGAAGCTAGGCTTTTTTTAACAATAATAGAGAGTTAAATTATGGGACGATTATGATATAAACCTGATAATTTTTTATCGGGAATCAATAAGAAAGAAAACTGCCAATACAGTTAGACTTTTTATATTTTTTTATCTTCTAAACAAGACGAACAGAAAGGAATACTATATAGTCTAGAAACTTTGTGTTTTATTTACTAGCCAGAAACGCCAAATCCTTCTGTACGGCTGTACGTTGCCGATTTAGTTGACCCGAAAAACATTCGTACAAAGATAGTGAAACCACCACCAATCATCGAACATACGTAAGTTCATTAGTATGTTTTTATACTACCATATAAAAAATGGCATGCAGTTTTATTATTTCATTTTTCACAAACTTTCGTGCTGCAATCTTATTATTACAAATTGTAATATAGATTGCTATTTTACTCCGCAATACGAGTATTTATGTATAATTAGGCAAGAGGTGTTAAACGCGAGTATTAAAAATTTTTATTACAACAAATCTAAAATCTTTATTATGTCGAGAACAATGGAAGAAAAGCACTGATACAAATGAAGAACTGCGTTTCAAAAATTTTCTTCACATTGTATTAAGTTACTGGAATGCTCGTAATATTATTGATTTAATAATGTATGTTTGCTATTTAAAAAATTTCTAATATCAATCAGTATATGCACATCGCCTGTCATTTATCTGTTGACATTGTTTTTTAAAATGCACTTCTATTTTCCCTATCAGGGACCGTTATTTCTCGACTGCTTCGTGGACATCTTTGACCGAAGTCTGCATAACATGGCTGACGCGTGCCCAAAATTTTTCAGTAATTACCATCTGCAAAAGTCCAATGTGGCATTGTCAGGTTTGTAAGTGTTATTTTCTCGCGGACAAGATATACAATAAAAAATATTTAGGTAAATGTTTGGAAGTGGTGCTCCAGCAGGGAAATTGCGGTTTTCTTTATACCAATTCATAAAACAAAAACATATGTTCGTAAGATTTTAAGGGAGAGTTTGAGGTTTTCGCGTAGGAAAATCTATGGGTTTGTTTTCTGTTCCTGCACTGGTGAACTAGTGCAGTAAGCTAGAATGAGAAAAAATATGCTTGTCTTACTCCAATTTATTGCACTAGTTCACTAGTGTAGGAACAGAAAACAAGCCTTAAGTTTCTTTCTACAAAAATCTCAAGCTCCTCCTTGAAATTTATGTACATATGTACATATATTTTTATAGCTTGTTTTATTAATTGCTACAAAACAACTGCAATTTCCCTGCTAGATGACTTCCAAACGTTTACCAATAATAGTATTCATATTAATAATTTTTATATTTACTACGAGTCTATATTTTAACCATTCTTATTTTCTAAATACATTTTTCTCAGTATTTTCTAAATTAAAAATTGAATGTGATAATCTTTTACCTTAATATGAAAAATAAGTATGTTTAGTTAACACTTGTTAAAATTATTAATTTATTATTTTAGGAAATTCAAAGAATATCGGGCGAGGTTGCGTGGGTTGATACACCACCAGAACCCCCTCTGTTTTCAGTAAATGGCAGCAGTTACATTGCAATAAGTCCCGTGAAAGATGGACCGACGGGATATTACAAACATATAATTTGGACTAATGTACTCCGAAAACAAACAGTGCCTTTGACGCATGGGAAATTTGAAGTTGTTAGGATTTTAGTATGGGACCAAACAAATAATACTATGTGAGCAAGTAAACACATTAAATAAATGCTTACGATTTAATATTGTGAGATGATATTGTAAAATAATTTGCGTTTCAACCAGATATTTCATCGGTATTCCATTTATGAGACCGAGTCAAAGACATCTCTATCGTGTAAGCGCTACTCCTCGTATGAGGAAGCCATGTGCAAATTTCTAATTTGCACACTCTTTCTATCAGTGTGGAATATTCCAAACATTCTTTTATTTTCCTTTTCGTGCAAAATGGCAGCTGTATTGGACGAAGT